TATATCTTCCTAATTTTTGTAAATAATATGTAACTGAGGGTTGATCCACCTAAATTTTCCAATTAAAAAAATATGAGTGTTTTCCCTGCATGTTTGTAAGTGCACTTGTGTCATACAGTGTCCATGGAGGCCAGAAGAGGGCATTGGACTACCTGGAACTAGAGTTATCAACAGTTGTTAGCCACCATGTAGGTGCTGGGAACTGAACCTAGACCCTCTGTGAGGACAGCCAGTACCACTGAGTCATCTCTCCAGCCTTTTTGTTTTTGTTTTCTTTTTTGAATGTTTTAAAGTTCTTCCTAATGATTCTCTGTATTTCATTACAACCTATTTTAGCCTTCCTCTTTTCACATCTACTTTTATGACTTTGCATGTTGTTTTTCTGTTAGTAGGATGGGTTAACCTTTTTTTTTTTTCAATGAACCAATTCAGATTGGTTCAATACATTGGTCTTTTAGTCTCCACTTCATTAATTTCTAACCTGATATTTTTACTTCTTGCCATCTACTGGGGTTTGGGTTCTTATGTTCCTAAGATCCTGAAATGCATCATTAAAGACCTTTATTTTTAAATAGAAGCATTCCTAACTTCAAACTTTCTTCTTAGAATTACCTAGCAGTATCCCAAAGTTCTGATAAGTTGTGTTTCTGTTTTCATTTGTTCCAGGACTGTTCTGATTCCTTTTCTAATTTCTTCAATGATAAACTGGCCATTCAAGAGTATGTTTGTATAGTTCTTATAGTATTTCTCGCTATTTATTTCTAGTTTTACTGCACTATAAGATAAAAGCGATTATTTAGGTTCTTTAATATTTGGTAGGACATTTTTTTTGTTACGTAGATGAGGTGTATTTCAGACTGAGAATGGACTGCTGAGAATGTGAACTGTTTCTGTTGGATAGAATATACTGTCAATATTCTATTTTTAAAATGATGTAGTTTAACTCTTAAGATACTTGGTAGATTTTAAGTTTGGATTGACCTATCTAGAGATTATAAGTAGAATAGTAAAATTACTCACTATTACTGTATCAAAGACTAAGCAACATTCTACATTCATACGTTTCATAAAATTGGGAGTCCCAACATTTGATGCATATAAAACAATTGTAACTTTTTCATATAATATTGAGAATTTCATACAATGTATTTTGATCATATTCATCCCTCACTCCTAATTCTCCTGAGATTCACCCCCACACTTCTCCACTCCCTCTCAATTTCATGTTCTTTTAAAAAAATAACCCACTAAGTCCAATTTGTGCTGCTCATATACTTATGGGTATGATGCCATCCTCTGGAGCATGGTCAACATACCAGGAGGAATATCCTTGAAAAAAACCAACTCTCCTTTCCTCAGAAACTATCAACTGTTAATAGCTCCTCAGTTAGGGGTGGGGGCTTATAAGTCCTTCCTCTCTTCATGTCAGAATGTTGACTGTCTTGATCTTGTGCAGGCAATACACAAGTGTTGTGAGTTTGAATGCAGCCGTCCTGTCATAAAGAATGCTTCACTGGTTCTCCCCAGACTCTGGCTCTTACAAATTTTCCATCTGTTATATATTCTTGTTATATATGTTCTCTTCATTAATACATGGTGGCTTTCTTTATCTCTTTTTAAGTAATTTTGGTTTGTAGTTCACATTACCAGATACCAGCAGTTTTGCTGGTTTGTTTTCAGTTGAGGGATTGTTCTCCATTCTTTAACTCTTACTCCGTGGCTGTCTTCCTTCCTGGCTTCATACTCAGAGCTATGAAATTTTTTTTTTTTTTTTTTTTTTTTTTTTTATCAGTAAAGGTCTGTTAGAGGCCACTGAGGGCAGGGCTGCCTTTCCTTTTGCACTTCCCAGCATGAACCAGCCTTCTGTTTTCTGTATCTTTGGGTTGTCTGCCACTTCTGCTCTCCATTAAGTTCCATCCTGGACCCTCCCTCACTCAGGGACTATGGTGTACTAAGTTGAGGCTCCATGACTCTTGAATGCTATTCTCAGGCTCCAAGGGTACCTCAGTTTTTTACAATAGATTATTTCTTATTATGGCATCCAACTATTGCTCTCTGAAACATACTGCATGATAAAAATGGGTATTTTTTCTCCCCCATTGACAGCTCCACGAGAGGAATGACTGTCAGCTATCAGTAAAACCCACAGATTTGAGGCTTTTGAAGGCTTGCCTTGACTGTTGTACCCCTTAATTTTATCTGATTTACCTTTTGGAGGAGGCTTCTGTTTGCCTCTGACCAGCTGGGGAACTGATGAGGCTACATTCAACTTAATTTTCTAAGTTTCACTGCCCCCCCTTCAGCATCTTCTCACTTCCCTCATGCACTTTCAAAGACCTTCCTCTATTTCTTTGAGATAAAAATCTTATTTTTTCTTATTCTGATTCTGTTCTTCACCTCTTTACCACCTCAGAGATAGTGGAACTACCCTTTGAAGCCTAGTGGGCTCATCAATTGTGGATACATATACAACTAAGACAGTGATTTGCCATTTCCTCAGCATCCATCATTAGCCACGTTTTCCACAGGGAAGGATATAGCCCTATAAAAGTTCGTTTGCAATGACCATGTCATGCAGAAAACAACATTTCTAAGCCCTCTGCCTGTCATGTCTTTTATATTCTTTGGCCCCACTTTTCACAATATTCCTTGAGTCTTGCAAATGATGATATAAATGTTCTGTTTAGGGCTAAGTATTATCTGTCACTTATTCTCAGCACCTTGAGCAGCTGTTCATGGCAAATAGAAGCTTCTCCAATAAAAGAGAATAGCATTTGTCTATGGGTATAAACAACTATTAAGACAGTTTGAAGCTGCATCAATTTAGTACAGAAACAGTAATAAGCTCCCCACTAAGGAATCCCCCCAGCCATGGGCTTTTGAAGGAGTTTACAGTACCAGGCATGAATGCTCACTATCCTGTGGAACAAGGTCACAAATCTAATCAAACAGCTTGGCTATCTCTGTAACAGCGGTGCCACTATTGCACCAATGGGCACATACTGCCTGGCTGGTTGGTACTGTAGTTCATAGGATTCAGTTAGGTAAGACTGTTACCTTTTCTATCCCAGTAGCCTCCATGGCACTTTCCAGCACTATAAATACCAGCTAGTAGAAAGCTTCCAGTTTGATTTCTCCATATCTTGCAGATAAGCTGTGCAGGTATATTCAGCAATAGGGTCTTATCTAATTCTGGAGGGCAACAAAAATGGCAAGAATTTGTATTATTTGGGGGTACTTCCTGACCAATTCCTAAAGAAATATTCCACATGGGGCACTGAGATTTGGGACTCAAGAAGAGTCCAAAATGGACTCAAGAAGCATTGTCTCTAGCCATGTAGAAGATATTCCTTTTAATGGGGGGGGGTGTGCATATCACAGTGTGCATGTGGAAGTCAGAAGACAACTTTGTGTACCTGGTTCTTTCCTTCTACCTGGCATGGGTCCTGGGGATTAAATTCAGTTCTCCAGGCTTGCCCTGAAAGCATCTTCTGAGGCAACTCATTGACCATGCAAATATTCACTTGGCTGACACAATATATTTCCATATGGCCTTTATATAGACGCTTTATTTTGGTTAATCCTCCCCCCTCCAGGCCTTCATCTCCCTCAACTCCCATGTCCTTCTGTGCTTAAACTTTCCCAGCCTCAGTATTCTCCTCTGTACTACTGTATTACTTCTTTCCTCCAACCTCCATGGCCCCTTTCTAGTGTCATGGTTTCCACAGGTACTCAAAGTTAAACCCACAGAACTCAAGATTCACTGCGAGGGTTCACATGAGAGAATACATGCAGCATTTGTCTTCCTGGGCCCGAGTTACCCCACTCAGTACAATTTTTTCCCCAGTTTTATCTACTTGGAAATTTCACAATTTTATTTTTCTTTACAAGTAACTGAAATTCCATTGTATATATGTATATTTCCACTATCCATTCATCAACTGATAGACATCAAGGTTGATTGCATTTCCTAGCTATTGTGAATAGAGCAACAATGACTATGGATGAGTAAGTATATCTGTACTAAGATATAGAGTCCAATGGGTATATGCTCAGGAGTGGTATAGCTGGGTCCTATGATAGTTCTATTTCTAGCTTTTTCAGGAAATTCCACACTTGATTAACAGAGTGGCTACACCAGTTTATACTCCTACCAACAATGAACGTGCATTCCTCTTTCCCCATATTCACACTAGCATCTTTTGCCATTTGGTTTCTTGACAATTTCCACTGATTAGAGTAAGATGGAATCTCAAAGAAGATTTAATGTGCGTCTTTCTGATGGATGATACTGAATATTTAAAAAACATGTTTATTATTGGGGCTTGAGAGATGGCTCAGCTGTTAAGAACACTTGCTGTTCTTGCGGTGGGCCCAGCACCTACATGGCAGCTTACCATCATCTGTAACTACAATTCCAGGTGACACTATTTTGGTCTCTGCAGGGACCAGGTTCACATGTAGTACACATACTTAAATGCAGGCAAAACACTCATACACACAAAATAGAAATCAATCTTTGAAATGTTTATTAGTAACTTGCATTTCTTTTTATAACTGTTAAGCTTTACAGCTGCTAATTTGTGGAGTTGTTTCCTTAATGTTTTTAAGTTCTTTGTGCATTCTAAGTATTAATCCTCTGTTGCAGGCATAGCTGGCAAAGATTTCCTCTCATTCTGTAGGCTGCTTCTTTACTAGGTTGTTTCCTCTGCTGTACAGTTTCATGAGGTCCTATTTGTCAACTGTTGGCCTTATTTTCTGAGTGACTGTTATCTTATTTAGAAATTTCTTACCTGTGCTTACATTTAGTAACATACTCCATACCTTTTCTTCAAAAAGTTTCAAGAGTTCCAGGTTTACATTGAGGTCTTTCATCTATTTTGAGGTGAATTTTGTACACAGTGAAAGATAAGGATCTAGTGCCATTCTTCTACATAGACAGTTTCCCTAGCACCATTTGTTGAATATGCTCTTTCCTCCAGGGTGTATTTTTTGGCATCTTTGTTAAAAATTACCAGTGTGTAATTGCATTGGCTTATATCAGGATCTTCTATTCCACTACATCTATGTGCTAGCACAATGCTGGTTTTAGTACAATAGCTCTGTAGTATAACTTGAAATCAGGTATGGTAAAATATCTAGCATTTATTCTTTATCCTCAGAACTGCTTTAGCTGTCTGGGGTCTTTTGTGCTTCCATACAAATTTTTAAGATTTTTTTTTTCGATTTCTGTGAAAAATGGAATGGAGATTTTGATTTTATCTACACTGAATTGGAACATTGATTTTGGTGAGATAGTTGTTTTCACAATGCTAATTCTGCCAATCCAAGAACATCAAACTTGAAACTTCTAGTGTCTTCCTTGAATTCTTGCCTCAGAGTTTTAAAGTTCTCGTTGTAGAGGTCTCTCACCCTTTGGTTAGGTTTACCCCAAGGTGTTATTTGTTGTAGTCAACTGTGAATTCTTTGACAGACACATAAGTTTTCCTTCATTGTTTACATTCTTGTGTTTTTTTGCCTGTTCAGGTTCTGTAAGTATTCTTACCATTCCATACATTCATGTTTTGGGCTTTGTGTACTTCTATGTAAAGTTAAGATCTGACTTGTGTTAAATGTTTGCCTATGTTCTTTACAATCATAGGGTCCCCTTACTTGTAAGGAGTGTTTGGATACTTAACTAAAGTGTGTTTTATGGTAGAAAGGTTTCTTGCATTCTTCATATTCATAGTACACTATCTGGTGTTGAGAAATGTTACTCAAAGATTTATTACATTGTTTGCATTCACAGGATTTCTTCATGGTATGAATTTTCTGATGCCGCTTTAGGTTTGACTTATCATAGAAAGCTTTCCGACATTCCTTACATTCATAGGGTTTCTCACCTGTATGAGTTCTCTGATGTACAGTGAGGTGTGAAGTACAGTAAAAAGCTTTATCACATAATTTGCATTCGTATGGTTTGTCACCTGTATGAGTTTTCTGGTGTCGAGTGAGGCCTGACATTCGGTAGAATGTTTTCATACACTGCTTGCATTCATATGGCTTTTCACCTGTATGAGTTCTCCAATGATGACTGAAACTTGACTTACAAATAAATGATTTCCTGCATACTGTACATTCATAAGGTTTTTCACCCGTATGAGTTCTCTGATGTACAGTTAAATAGGACTTTGTGGAGAAAGCCTTCCCACATTCTGTACATTCGTAGGGTTTCTCACCTGTATGAATTCTCTGATGTAGAGTGAGTTGGGGCTTTTGGCAAAAAGCTTTCCCACATTCCTTACATTCATAGGGCTTCTCACCTGTATGAATTCTCTGATGGTCAGTGAGCTCCGATTTACGGTAGAAAGCTTTCCTGCACTGTAAACATATATATGGTCTCTCACCTGTATGAACTCTCTGATGTTGAGTCAGATGTGACTTTTGACAGAAAGCTTTCCTACATTCCTTACATTCATAGGGTTTCTCACCAGTGTGAGTACTCTGATGCCTATTAAAGCTTGTTTTCCAGTGAAAACACTTTCCACATACTTTACATTCATAGGATTTTTTCCCTCTGTGGGTTTTCTGATTAACATTCACTTCTGACTTTAGTGAGAACTGATATTCTTCCTGGATACAGGGCTCTTCTCCTGCATGTTGTTTCTTATCTTTTGTAAGGTATGATTCACTACTAAAAGGATTCTCAAAATCACTACATTCATGTTTCCCTCCCATGTGTATTCTCTCACATTCATCAAGATTAGATTTGTTACACTTTATTCCTGATATATTACATTCAAAAGAGTTCTCTCCTACCTGAGTTATCTCTTTGCCAATAAACACTACATCATCAAAGGATTTCCCATATTCACTGAACTTATGAGAGGTCTCTCCTGTTTGAAATTGATGTGTCAGCAATACTGCTTTTGTGTTGCAGGCTTTCCCTGGTATAAGACTTTGAAAGTAATTTTGTGAACTTTGACTTTTATGTAGACCAAGATGCTCAGGAGGTTGAAGCGATTTGTCAGGTCCATTAATATCATCAGGTTCTGCTCCAATCTGCATCTTATCATGATCACTCTGGAGATGCACATTCTTCCACACAAGAAGCTGTTTAGGACTCATTCTATCCTTTATATTCAGATTTGAAGTGTGGTTTTTATTCACATTAAATTTTTTCCCTATTCCAGCCATCTCCTTTGATATATTGCTGTTGGTGATTGAAACTTGCCACACATATCTTGCTTCAGTTTCTCGGCAGGTCTTATTCAGGGTATTCACTTTTTGTACACCTGAAATGATATTAAGATATATGAATATTCACAAACTGCATATAAGTATTTTTCATTCAAACTAACAGAAGTAGAAGCAGTGGTTTCTTATTCTTGTGGTGAATGATTTCAGCATAATTTTGAGTGATGGATTTTTTTTTTTTTTTCCTGCCTAAAGGGTTGATATAGGGGCCAGGAGTAGTGGTGCGTGCCTTTAATCCCATCACTCAGGAGGCATATATATGCAGGCAGATCTCTATGAGTTCATAGCAAGCCTGGTCTACATAGTGAGTTTGAAGTCAGTTGGGACTATGTAGTGAGACCCTGTTTCAAAAAAAGAAAAAAATATTGATATGGGGAAGGATTGGTATATGTGTTTAGGTCATCTTTTTTTTTTTTTTTTAAACTTACCCTCAGGAACTACTTAAGGAATCCTACTGAGGTAGTCAAATGCAAATTACATTCCTTCCTATTGAAAGGATGATTCCCGAAATTCCTAACTTTCTCTCTTACCCAAAGGGATTTTGTTGGATAGGCATGTCCTCTGAAGGACCAGCAACAGATGGATGTCGTCTTCCTTTCCCCCACTAACTGAAAACTAGTTGAACTTTAAGACTCTCCATAGGATGGGCAGGGCAGAGGGAGACAGTTGCCCCTCCCAACCAACCAGTCAGCTTCAACTGCATAAGGGGGAGGGTCTAAGGATAGACATGGAAAAAACAAGAGAGGAAGAGGATGCTTCACCATCTTGAGCAAGCGGCTGAAGATCTGAAAGGCTCAGCTGACATGCAGAGGAAAAAGTCCAAGGGTGTCTATACTTGTGTAACTCCTCCTTGACATCATGTGCTCTGTTAGCAAGCCCAAATAAATATATTTATTCCCTAAACTGTAGTTTGGAGGAACATTGTAACAGTTGGTCACATGGATGATGGGAGAAGAAAGCCAAGAGTGCACAGGCCTCCCAGCAGTAAACTGACTTACACACTTCATTATCTTGTTTTTAATATGTACATAATACACTTTGAGAATATACACCTTCCATTTTCTCCCCATACCGGTAGATCTTCTCTATCCCAAATACTTTTCACTTTTGAGTTCATTTGGTCCTAGGAAATTTAACCCCTTCTTTGCCATCCTTAGATCATTTTAAAATGTGTTGTACAACTCTCATGTTTTAGTTTACTTTCTCTTCCTAATGATCTCTAACATTTTTCAGTGTTCATTTAAAAAGATACAAGAAATTACTTCAAATGTTTTCTGTTTGTTAGAGCTTGCTTTATGACCTAAAATGTGATGAGTTTTAGGAAAGGCTTAGATGTGTATTCCACAACTATTCAGACGGAATATACTATAGATGTCTCTTTAGTCTCAATGATGTATGCTATAGTTTAACTATGAAGCTTCTTTGTTGAATCTTGTCTCTGGGTGATATAGCTATTGATGAGTGTCCTCTCAACTACTCAACTGCTGCTGTGTCCTTTCATACCCAGTATTATATATTTTATGAAACCAGATGCAGCCTTAAATGTCTTTGTTGGTCTCATATCTGGATAACATATCCACTGAAGAAAGTGGAATACCGAAATCACTCACTACTATGGTATCCAGAACCTTTGTTTACCTTCATGTCCAGAATATTTTTATGGAACTCAGCACAATATTCAGCTTATATGCAGAATCATTACCATTTTAATGGATATTTCCTATTAATAAGAATATGAAGTAACCTTCTTAATCCCTTCCAACTAATTTAGCTTGAAGTTGGATTTCTCACATCAGTAGATTACTTCTCTTTTGGTTCAAGAAGCATTGTTCACATTTTAAGGTCATGTGTGCCTTTGCCAATGAGATGGAATCCTTGTTGTTACAGATAGGAAACAAGATCTTTTTTTTTTAATATTAAAAAAAACTTTTTTAGAAGAAGCATTTCATTACAGCTTTAACATACTCAATAACAGTTTCAAAGCAAAGATACATCTCATTCAAAAGTGGCTATAAAATTTTTAGGTTCGCTGTTGAACCTAATAACTGCATAGTTAGAAGCATTTCATTACAAGAGCACTGACATATTCAATAATAACTTCCAGAGCTAAGATGCATGTCTTTCAAAATTGGCTGTAAAATTTTAGGTTTACAGTTGAATTAGTACAGTTATACAATATTGTATTCAGCATAAACCCTGTGAGACATAAAATTAAATGAGGTTTTAACCTTTAAAAAAGATCTCTATTTCATTATTAAAATACGCAGTTTCATGCAGAAAAGTTCATGTTTAATGCAAATAACACTAAGGCATTTGTACATGTGTTTATAATCTCTAGCTATATGATTAGTATTAGTCACAATTGGTTACTTTCTGAGCTCCCTGGCATGTGAGCATGGATATAAAGTCAGGTAGATTTCAATGGTAATGTTTTTCACATCTACTAATTATTAAGGAGCAAAGTGTTATGCTTTGAAGATTATTTTAATTTCTTTAAATTTAATAACCACATGATTAGAAGAAGCATTTCATTACAGCTTTAAAATATTCAGTAACACAATCCAGAGCAAGGATACATCTCTTTTAAAAGCAGCTGTAAATTTTTAGGTTCACAGTTGAATTAATAGTTATAAAATAATGAACTCAGTATAAAACCTGTAATATATAAAACTGAGGTTTTATCCTTTAAAAACACCATTTCAGTTTAAAATATGCTGTTTCCTACATTTTTAGTGCTACTAACACTTAGATGTTAGCACATGTGCCTTAATCTCTATGTATCTGATGATTACTAGTCACAGCTGGTTATACTCGGATCCTTAGTACCTGAGTATGGATATAAAGTCATCAGGTAGATTTCATTGGTAATGTTTATCACCTCTACTGTTTAACATAAGGTAAATTTTAATGCTTCCTTCTCAAATATGTTTTTTTAATTTATTGATTTTGCTGTGTACCTCATACAGAACCCACATAGTCTTATTCATCTGCATACCCACTTCCCAAATGGCACCCACCCACAGCCTCCCCCCTCCCACATACTGGAGCCCACATACTCTGTCATACCTGTACTGTCCTCTATGTTGTCAACACCCCCAGCCATTCTCCAGTGCTTATCCATCTGCCGAATCTAGTCAGCTGATCTAGAGATCCTTCTTTTTAGGAAGATCAGCTGTTCTTCATCTAGCAGCAATAAGTTGTCAATACTCCTTTAAAGATGGGTCCGCTGTTCATTTTCCCAGTTCCATGCTGGGTTACTGTCTGGGAGTCTCTTGTGCCACCTTGGCCAATAACTCAAAGGAAGTATCTCCTGTCTGGCATTGTTTCTTGGTACATAGCCTTTAGCTATACACATGGACTCTTAAAAATTATACTGACCACATTAATCTTTGGGTATACTTTCCTTTTGGGTGTTTAAGATCCTACAGTTGGCCCAGATAAAACAATTTATTTTTACTCTTAAGGTTGTCTGAGGATCTGTTCCTCAGGAGTATCATGGGGCTGGGAGGAGCCCCTGGCTCCTTTCGTTTATCAGTTTTGTCTATGTGAAGATAAGTCAAAGGTCCTACTTGACCATGGCTGGCTTCACTTGGAAGCATGGAGGAAATGTTTCCTCTGTGTCGACTCTCCTCTTTGTAGACTGGACACTGGTTCAGGTCCATCTGGTGGGGTCTCCATGGCCTCCTTGATCAAGAGGACAGGTGACTCACCACAATTACAGGACATTTTGAGATGCTTATAGTCCCCTGGAACTTAGTTGACCTAGGAGGGCAAGGAACAAAATTGTCCTTAATGTACCCCGACCTAATTAGTATATGCCTCAAAGTATGGCTGTTAAACATCCAAGGTTAGTTCCACCAGTCTGGTACTTTCAGTTACCATATGCCATGTAGATAGAGCTTGGGAAAAGACGAAATGCTCTCAGATAAACCTTGCCTAGGCATATATTACATTCCTTGATCTGGTTGTATGTATAATTTGTCAGTACGTTGTTGGCCTAATGTGGTTCCCTCTGGTTTTCTAAAACTAGCTAGGCATTGTTTCTCTCTCACATTGTCTAACCAGTCCACCATGGTTTCCCCATTTAAGGTGTCCCCATCCTCTCCATTTCTCCCATAATAATACCCTTCACCTATGGTCCCATCTCTCTTGAGCTCCTTCTTTCCCTTTATCCCCTAGCTTCCTTGTATAACCTTCCCTCCCCCCTTAAAATAACCCCATTATTGTCCATATCTCCCTTCTTAACACCTGTTTTCTGCTGTTCTTCTCTTTCAGATTCTTTCTTTTCCTTTACTTCCAGGGTTCCTCTTCATTATTCTCATACCTGTAGTTATGTCTGGATACATACTCATTTACAAGGATTTAGTGCTAGGATCCACATATGAGGGAGAATAAATGCCGGGTTTTTTTGTTTTTGTTTTTGTTTTTCTGAGTCTGTGTTACTTCACTTAGTATAACAGTTTCTAGTTCCATCCATTTACCTGCAAATTTCAGGATTTCATCTTTCCTTCTTGCCGAATAAAACTCCATTGTATAATGAACCACATTTTTATTATCCACTCGTCAGTTGAGGGACAATTAGGTTGCTTCCATCTCTTAGCTATTGTGAAAAGAGCAGCAACAAACATGGATATACAGTGTCTCTGCAATAGGATGAGTTCTTTGGGTATATGCCAAGGAGTGGTAAAACTAGTGCAAACGGTAGGTTCATTTGTACTTTTTTAAGAGTTCTCCACATGGCTTTACATAGGGGTTGAAAAAGTTAGCAGCCCCACCAGCAGTGGATGAGCATTCCCCTTTCCCAACATCCTTTCCAACATTTGGTATCATTTGTTCTCTTGACCTTAGCCAGTCTGACTGGGGTAAGATGAAATCTTAAAGTGGTTTTAATTTGCATTTCCCTGATTATTAGTGATGTTGAACATCTTTTAAGATGTTTCTTAGACATCTTTACTTCTTCCTTTGAGAACTCTCTGTTCAGTTCCTTAGCCGATCTATTAATTGGGTTACTTCCTGTCTTGATTCTCTGTTTTGTGAG